TTTAACGAGATATTTACTGGACTTTGGTGGTTGTGATTTTAGTTCTGATAATGTTAACGAGGCTGTATTTTCCTATGCTAATGTATCGTTAAATTCTATGTAATATAATCTGTGCTAAAAATATTGGTAGCAATTTCTACCCAAATACCCGAATATAAATACATTCATTTCCTAGTTGATGTTAAAATCAAAATAATTACAATTCAATATTATACTATATTAAGTATTTGACTTTGTTTATAGTATGTTATTTTTACTACTCTTGTGCATTGTTACCGTATTGTGTTAGTATTCTATTCTGATTTCATGTTACTTATTTAATAGTTATATTCCGCTAAAGCATGATCTAATTTCAAATATTTTACACTACACTCAAGACTTTTATTTTTAGTTCAGTAACGAAGAGTACAAGCATATACTTCATGAAGATACTTCATGAAGACACATGAAGTCAAAAACTTGCTTCAAAATAACCGATTTTTTATTTGAAAGTCAATTTGAACGAACCAATTTTATTATTTAAAAGTCTGACGCGACTCAGAATTAGAAAACATTAAACATAATAATTAACTTTGATAGAATCGATGAGACAATTGTAAATCTTTATGTATTATTAAATAACAAAAATAGTAATAACATGTTAAATATAACAAATATAAAAAGCTCTTCTAATAAACTTGAGATCAGCGATAATAAGAATTTTGCCACGTTTATCTGTGACGCGTTGTAACCTTTTAACTTATAAAATAAGTATAATTGAATGTTTATTGTATGCTTTTTATTTTTTAAATTCTGTAAGGGTATAAAAATTCGTACAGAAATTAAATTCATCAACGTGCCCTGCGTTGATCTATTATTAACGATAAACGATATAAACCCGATTGTTTTTTTTAATTAGCGTGACGACTTTAATAAATAATTACAGGTTAAATTTATGAAATGAATAATTCGAATACGTAAGTGCGTAAGTGTGTACGTGAGTGCTTACGTATCACATTTATATATATTCTGATGAAAAAGATCCAATCATATGATTTGTACGAAGTTGACAGTATAAATATTTTTACTTTCAAAAATCAAATGATGCTTTAAACGAAAAAATAGTATATATTTGAGAATCCTGATTTTTTGAGTTTATCTAAATTTCTGTCGTTTTCTTTGTGTATTCAAAATAAAGGTATTATTCTTGATGTTCTTGTTGACGTTAATTTAACTCATACACAAGCATAATACACGATTGTAATACACGAGTATAATACACGAGTATAATACATGAGTGTAATACACGAGTATAATACACCAGTATAATACATGAGTGTAATATGATATAATCTTTTTTTTTTAAAAAAAGGTCAAATCAAGATAGAAATTTTATCATTATCGATACTCGTGTTACCTTTATATTATATAACCAGTACATAAACTCAAGTCACGATGAATACCATGAGCAGCAGACCTAGAGACGAGGGTAAAAAAAGAAAAAGGAACTACTATAATGTATATAGAGTATTACTTTTGTCGATGTTTCATAATTTTACCGGAAACCCCTTTGGTTTTCAGAAATTCGCGTTGCTCATTTAGTTAAAGGCCTCTCGTTGGATGAAGAGGGATGGGAGGAACTTGATAACCAATCAATGGATGTGGATGTGGAATGTACCAGACATGATTCTAAAGATGATAATGTAGATAATTGGGAGCCGGATCGTTATGAAGTGCACAAAATTATTGCTCATAAGGTTGTGAATGTAAGTGTTTCTTACTTCATATTCTTTTTTTCTCGTGTTTCAATTACTTCATTATTATCTATTTATAGGGTCGAGATCTTTACCTCGTTATGTGGAGAGGTTACTCCAAGGACACGTAATTCTGTTCTTTAATATTGTGTGGTTCTTTATTATATATATATTTTTTAAACTTTTATCTTATATCTTTAAGTTGGGAACCTGCTGAGAATCTCGATGATTGCCGCGAAAAACTTGATGAATTCCGTAAACTTTCCAATGAGATGAAAATAACCGAGCAATGTCATCAACAATATGAATGTGATCCTGAAGAACGTATTATGTTTTTAAATGCTTACAATGATTCTGGTCGTATTAACTTTGATCTTTATGATAAGATCATTCTTGGAAGAATAAAAAAAGATTACGAATATAATGAATATGTATCTGATCTGATGATCGAATGGTACGTTCTTTTATTGGTTAGCTTATCTATACAATTTATTACTTATCCATCCATCCATCCATCTAATTTATTATTATTATGTTTTCAAAGTGTCCCTGTTGCCGAGATCAGCGAAAGAGGTCGAAAAGAAGAAGAAGAAGCCAAGCGTCGTGAAGAATATGACTTGTTTTAGTAATCGTTGATTAAAGGAATTTGTCTGTTGAGAATATTTGTTTCAGATTTTCTGTTACAATATTCCTATTGTATATGATGTTTCAAAAAATTTTTCAGATTAACTTGTTTTAGAATTGAAATGTTAAGAATCATGTAAATTTTATGAAACCAAATGCAGATAGAATAATATACGTAGAATCTCCATTTATCTGAGCTTTTTTTACGTAATCCTATTTATTTTGACAATGATAAATGTTGATCGATTACAAAAACATCACTTTTTAAACGGTTGATTACATTGTTGAATACTTTATACGTACGTGTATCATTAGTGTATCATGTGCAAGATAGAGCATGGTCAACTTTGGACATAACTGTAAAACGAATTCATTCCATACAAACTTTTTAACAAATTAATAAATAACTCTACAGGTATCCTTATTACAACTAGAAAAACGGCGACGTTTTATGGGCTGGAGCTCTAGTTATTAGGTCTTATACTTGGAATTAAATTTAAAATAGTACATTATTTAAATTTTATAAATTACAATATATTACTTATAAGATTACATCTATACTAAATTTATAATAAAAGCAATTTTTTTATATTATTGTGTAAATGCATATTTGC